AGGACATATACCAAGAAAGAGATTAAAGACCTTGCAAGCTGGACATGTATCAAAAATCAGGCCAGAAGCTTTGTACCCTAATATATACCATCAAGCAGGTGCGGTGCTCCAGGTTGAGGGAGCTCATATCCTGGTGTATATATACACCAACAAGCAAAAGCTCATCTCCCAGGTAACATCCCTGACAATATCCAAGACCTAAAAACCTGGACATGACGAGTAAACATTTCCGAGATCTCACACCCCAAATCAGCTCAGAGGCCTCACACCCTCTTAGGACAGACAGACACCCACAAACAGCTCAGACACCATAAATTCTGGGACACAAATCCTGAAATGGTTCAGAAACCTCACACTGGTTCATACAAGAGCAGAGATCAGAAAGCTCCCACCATCCCACCATTTATAAACATCGGGGAGTCCACATCCTGGGATATACAATGTTTTGGTGTCTCAAAACTACAGACATCAGAACCTGGGCCATAGTATGTTGCCCGATACGGCTGTAACAAATACCCATGCTCCGAGTGTCAAAGAACAATACCTATTTAGTGCAAACAGAACCAGGGAATACTGCATGGCTTCCGATCAAGAAGGATGTGTGTTAGGGTTGTATCCTCTCACTATACTTGTTCCAATTGCAAGCTAAGCAAATCATCAGAGAAGCTTCTATGAAGTAGACTGTGGCATCAGAACTGGAGGCAGGCTTATTAACAACCCGCGATCTGCAGATGACACCGTCATGCTTGCTGAAAGTGAGGAGGACTTGAAGCCCTCGCCGAGACGATCAAGGAGTGCAGCCTTCAGTGATTACAACTCAATGTGAAGAAGACCGAAACCCTCACATCTGGACCCATAGTTAACAACACGAGAAATGGAGAAAAGGGTGAAGTTGTCAAGGATTTTGTCTTGCTTGGATCCACAATAATGCTCATGGAAGCAGCAGTGAAGAGATCAAAAGAAGAAGTGTGGCCTGAGTGCTCCCTAAAGGTCAGGATGGCAAAACTTTGTCTTACATGCTTGGGACATAGTGTCAGGAGAGACCAGTCTGTGGAGGAGGACATCATGCTTGGTAAAGTGGAGGGGCAGTGGAAAAAAGGAAGGCCCTGCAGGAGATGGACTGACACAGAAGCTACAACAATGGGCTCGCACATGGGAATGATTGTGTGGATGCAATAGGACTGGGCAGTGCTTCGTTCTGTTGTACACAGGGTCGCTATGGGCTGGAATCAACTCAATGGCTGCTAACAACCACAGAGAGAGAGAGTAATGAGTTTATAATTGTCTAGGGGCATGGCAGGGAAGGAGGGAAGGAAATAGGGAGCTAACAACAATGCGTATGAGAAGAAACGTTCTGAAATTGTGGGGATGTCACAAATCTTACTATGATTGAATAATTAAATATAAGATATGTGACATGTAAGTCAATACAACTATATATATATATTTTAAAAGTCTATGTGTGTGAAATAATAGAAAAGGCATTAGTTATCTGATGACCTAGAACATATGAAACAGCTCAGAAGTTTCATAGCTTGGATGAACAGCTACGAACAACTCTGAGCCCTCACGTTTTAGTGCACGTACTCAGAAACATCAGAGTGCATCCTGGGAAAACACTCTTAGACAAGTCAGAATCCTCACGGCCACTAGAAAATATATCAAAGCCTTCTCACCATTAGACATGTGCCCACAAATCAGGGCTTCATATCCTGGGATATGAAGAATAAACAAAATAAAGACCTCACGAGCTGTGTATGACCCACAAAGAAACCACAGACTTTGAGCCCTGCAGTAAGTACCACCAGCCCTGAGATATATCACACAGCAAACATTCTGGAATGTACTCCCCAAACAGCTCAGAGACATTACAACTGGAGGTATATACCCACAAACAGCTCAGGGAACTCACATCCTGGGATATGTACTCACAAATAGATTAGAGGCCACATAAAACCTGAGCTATATGAGGGTAAGTCAAAAGGCATTGCTACAAAATTATAGAAACCTTTATAAAACAAAAACATCAAAATGTGAAGCTATTGTTTCTTGACATATCCTCCATCTAGGTCTACAGACTTCTGGAGGTGGTGTTTCCATCTCGCTAACGTTTCTCTGAAGAATTTTGCACGCTTCAATTTACACCATGTCATTATCAAAGGACTCAAATTGTGTGTCTTTTAGACATTGAGTTTTTTGGGGGGGGGAGTCTGAAGGGTCATAGGGTGGATGGGGTAAGGTTTCTCCATGAAGTTCTCATATGACAACCCATGCTACTCTCAAAAAATGAACAGGTATACAGTGAACCCTCGTTTATCGCGGTTAATTGGTTCTAGACCCTACAGTGATAAATGAAATTCCGCGCGAAGTAGGATTCCTTATTTGTAAATCAAATATTTTCGTAGTTAGAGCATAGAGGACATGAAAAAACACCCTTTAGTCACCATTACACTCGTATTACCCAATTTATTAAACGAAAAAGGGAAAATGCAGTAAAACATTTTGGACGTTACAATTATCATTTATTATTATATTATGAAGTACAACGGATGGAGCGAACGGAAGACTCATTCAAGTCGAAATGGCGTGCAACCTCCACGATTTTCTTGCTATCTTTGATCATATCCAAAAGTTTTACCTTTTCCTGGATGGTGAGCATCTTCCTCTGGCGCTTATTTTTATTGTCAGAAGGCTTAGAAGAAGCAGCTCGTTTAGGAGCCATCATAGGGCTTAGATAAAATTTTTTAAAAATCGCAAACAATTACAGTACACTGTACAAAAGCAAAAATGCATCTGATACGTAGCTCCGATACGTAGTGATGCAGACAGAAGCGTGTACAGTATGAGCCAATCAGTGGCAGTAATGACAGAGCATGCGCTGTTACGCAAAAAAACGCGATAGAGTGAAGCCGCGGAAGTCGAAGCGCGAAGTGGCGAGGGTTCACTGTACTGTCATGCTGGGGGAAATATTCCTTAAAGTAACTTTCCTGGCTTTTTTCTCAACAGTGAGATTTTTCAATTTTCTTAAAACTTTCTGATAGGCCCCCACAATCCTCCAATGTCCCTCAGTAAAACATATCAAGCTTACCCCTTGGGAATCCCCCAAAACCAGTTGCCATAACTTTTTTTATATATCAGTTTTATTGGGACATAGCATCCATTTCAATAGTCTGATCGTATCAAGAAGAGTTGTACAATCACTACCACAACCAATTTTAGAACATAAAACTTTTAAGTGGGTCAAAAGGGGATCAAATAAGATGTTAACATTTTAACCTAACTATGTTTACTAGCTTTTCAGACTGTGATGCTTGACGGGAATAGAAAGCTTGTTTTTCTCCTGGGTTGGGCTGTGATCTGCATGGTTGGCAGTTCAAAACCACCAGTCGCTTGGTGTGAGAGACAGGCCTTTCTACTCCTGTAAATACTTACAGACTTGGACACCCATAGGGGTCGCTCAGAGTAGGCCTCAACTCAATGACACTAAGTTTGGTTTGGGGCATATCTACTTTCTACAATACTATCTATCTGATAACAAGGCTATTCACCACCCCCGACTATGGTCAGAGGGGATTCACTGGAGGCTTACCCTGCATGCTAGAACCTTCTGAGCTGATCTTTGTGACTGGAATTTCACTGGTCAAGTGCTACCCTTTGCAGCCTCCTTTTGGCTGGATTTTTTTAAGGTGCCCTAACAGGACTAAGACAAGTAGATCACTAAGAAAACTTGCCTGTAGCTCTCTACTGATCGCTGAGACACTTAAACACATGTTGCTTGAAACTAAACTGTGCTAGAGGCCTTCAAATCCATTCCAACTCATAGCTCATAGCAACCCTGTGTACAACCAAAGGAAACACTGCCCGCTCCGGTGCCATCCACAAGATCGTTACTATACTTGAACTACTCGTTGTAGCCACAGTGTCACTCTCTCTAGGTGAGGGGCTTCCTCTTTTTGGCTGACCAAGCATCATGTTCTTCCCCAGGCTGGTCCCTCGTGATGACACGCCCAAAGTATGTGAGACCTCTAAAGATTCACCATTCTTGCTCTGAGGAGCATTGTAACTGTACTTCTTCCAACACGGATTTATCATTCTTCTGGCAGTCCAAAGCATAGTTAACATTCCGTACTCATACCATAATCTAACCATCAAACAAATCAGAAACTTTGTGTTCTGTGAAATATTCATAAAACACAGCAGGGATCCAACAGCCTAGAGCATAGTCCACAAACACCTGCGGGACCTCACGTACTGCGACATCTACCCCAAGTTGGCTTAGAGATCTCACATCAAAGGACATGCACACCCTCACATCCCGAGACATGGACACAAAGCTGTGTCGCACGTAACCCGAAACATCAGATACTGTGCTTTATATATCACCAGCCACACAGACATCAGAGACCTCCCACCACGAAACAAACTCTGGACCGCACACCCATCAGCCTTGACACAGCACAAGCTGGGCCATGGTACTCATGTCTTAAAACAGCATAAAGGCGCACTCTTATCATTTTCAGGTCAGAAATATAAGAATGGGTCTTAAAGGGCTCCAGTCAAATGGTCAGCAGAGCTGCCTACCTCATGGAGACTCTAGGGCAGCGGTTCCCAGCCTGAGGGTCGAACGACCCTTTCACAGGGGTCCCCAAAGACCACCGGAAAACACATATTTCCGATGGTCTTAAGAACCGAGACACCACTCCTCTCTCGGCCTCTAGGCGGGTCCGCTCACATGCAGATACGCCCGCATACGAACATGCAGCATGAAGACTGTTACCCATGCTACAAGACAAAATTTCATCGATTTGTAATTAGAAATAAATATCTCACAATATAGAATTACATATTATTTTGTGATTCATCACTAGGCTTTAATCATGTTCAATTTGTTACAATGAAAATACATCCTGCATATCAGATATTTACATGACGATTCCTAACAGTAGCAAAATGACAGTTATGAAGTAGCAACGACAATAATTTTATGGTTGGGGGGGGTCACCACAACATGAGGAACTGTATTAAAGGGTCGCGGCATTAGGACTGGTGAGAACCACTGCTCTAGGGGGAAGAATTTGCTCCCTTGTATTTTCCAGTTTCGAAAGGCCACTTATAGTCCTTGGCAAAATCAGCAGCATTTCATCTTTTAACTCTTCTCTGATCTCTGTTTCTTTCACCACGCCACTTTCTGCAGCCCATCTTCCATGGTTACATAGCCTTCTATGACCATCTTGGCTCCTAAAAAAACCAAACCTGTTGTCATGGAGCTGACGCTACTTAAGGCTTCCTGATTGTTGTAGAATAGAACTGCTCCATAGACTTCTCAATATCATTAATCTTTTGGAAGGTGACCACCAGGTCTTTCTTCCATGGCACCTCTTGATAGATGCAAACTGCCATCTTTTCGGTTAGCAGCTGAGTGCTTAAGTATTTGTGAAGCCTAGGGAACCTGCCTGTATCTAAGGACTTTCGTGATTACGTTATAAGGCAGGCTAATCTCCCCACCCCCAAATGCTTAGTTTAAACACATGTACAAAGTACCAATTGCCACATAAAGTAACCTATCCCAGCAGCCAGAACACGGGCATCTTTGAGAGGTCATTATTTGCCCAACCGCATCCTCCGATACTGCTCAGTGACCTCCCATCCTGGACACAGACACTATGAGACTTCACAACTTGGACGCAGATCCTAGATAAATGAATTAACGCTGAGATGATGGGATCAACCCTGGAATGGTGTCTAAACAGCTTGGAGGAAGCCATATGTAACCTCCTATCCAGGAGGGAGAGGTTGGACATGCCTCCACCTGCCATCCTTTATCCAGTCTGACACCAACCATTCTAGGCTGGGTTCAATAATCTGTTGCAATGACCACACACAACTCACAGACAATACTCACAATTTATGGGGATTTATTAGGGAAGTTAACAGGTTACCACAAGTCAGAGTCAATAAAAAGCAAGGGTATAGTTATTGGTCCAAAGCAACACCTTTCCTTAGCCAGCAGCCAAGTCTCTCTCTCTGGTTCTCAATATCTCAGCTATGTGGTCCCCTGGCCTTCTCCTCTGTGGGCCAGGAACCCGGCCCCACTGCTTGGCCTCACAGTCTTGGCTTTGTTCCTTTGCTCTGTCCCATGGTCTCCATGTCCCAGCCTCTGTGCCTCTGGGCTCGGCCTCCACCACTCAAGAGATCTCCAACAGGCTCCACTGATGGCTCTTCTTCTGATGGTCCTGGGACCTTTTTTTCTGCGCTTCTGAGATGACTTTTATACACAGAGGTATGACTTGGATGGAACTGTGGTTCTGCCTGTAAGGCCTGCAGGCCTTAGTCCCAAGGAAACAAAGGGCGCAAGCTCGCTTCACACCCTCTAGTAAGGTGGAGACTCAATACACCCGACCTTAATCTTGTCCATCTGCATAGCAGAGAACTCTTGCCAAAATGGGATTATAAGGCACAGAGGATAATTACACATCCTCTGTAATATTGAGTACATCTCAGATGGTGACCATCATCCCCCCCCCAAAAAAAATGACAAAGAAAATACACAGACAAACTCCAAATCGCTTTGGGGACACATATGATGTGGGTTCCAAGACCTCACACTTTTTAGAACTTTCTCTGTGTACCTGGCACCATGTATGGCTGGTTTGCTTTCCTTATCTTTTGCAGAGCTGGGTCTTCCTTTCTGCAATAGCAGGAAAGTTGGCAGTCATCCCTTTCCTACATGCCTACTGGATTCCTGCCATTTCCTGCCAGGAATTTTCTGAGTCAAGACATTTCTCCGAAGCCTTTCCCTCTAAGAAATCACCTAACCCAACTAGCCTTTTCTTCATCGCATGCTGATAACTGCACAAGCCTATGACAGTCAGGCTGGGCAGGGATGCTGTCTACACTGTGAGGAGGAGCACTGGGGAACAGGGCTCCCTTCTCCACAACAACCCCCATCCTCCAACACCACTCTGATAGTTACACACCAATCACAGTGGAGGCTGAGCCATGTCTGGAGTTCAACATGGAGAGTGGCACACCCTGGGAGGTGCAGAGCCTTCCAGAACTTCCCCGTCCTTTGTCCTTCCCCCTAGGAATAGGTCAGGAACAATCACAACTGCTAAGTGGGGAGCTGGACTGCATGGACTGCATAGCCCGCACACCACTATCTAGGGGGTAAGAGACTAAACTGCTTTAGAAAACAGAGACAGCAGACTTATCCCGTTTACCCTGGGACTACTTTAGAGAAATGTCTTAGGTCCAACGGGGAGCAGAACAAACAGTCCGGTTGGGTCGTATTTGGAATTGGCAGCCCAGAAAACTCCAAATGTGCATACAAAACCATCTGGAGTTTCCTGGGCTGTAAAGTCCACATTCTCCTGGGATAGGGTTTGCTGGGTGGGAGAAAAAGAGCACTGTGAGCCAGGGAGGGAATGGCTGATGAGGGAGGGGTTTCCTGGTTAAGGGTTAGGCAAATGAGGCACGAAGGGTTAAGGCTGCTCAGGGTACTCCTGGGGCCTGCTGAACTCTGAGCACGCACATCAGCCAACCCAATGGAGATGGTGGCCACAGGGCAGAGGGCTGGGGTGCTTTGTCAAGGGCAGTGGTCCTAATCCTGGCCCCACTTTTGATACCTGGGGGACCTTTTAGACTGGGACACTGACATCCACTTCTACCTGACTGGGCTATTGGGAGGAGAGGCAGATTAACTCAGGGATGTATGCAAGTGCTTTCAAAATTGCTATGTGTCCCACAAGATCAGTAAGTATTATTGTCTTTTCTTAAGGATTGATCATCATTTGAGCAATCAAATGAACAACAGACTAGAAAAGAAAATACAACTGTGCCTAACACAGAATGAGTCTCCACTTTATTTCAAATCTACACCCGGGTGGTGTGCGGCGTCTTTAGTAAGTCATCATATAAAAAGTGCTCTCTCCATATAGCCCTCATGAAAGAAATACAGAACTGAGTACTCTGGTTTTCCAAGAGGAGATCTTATTGATGGGTTCATTTGTCTTCCTCCTACTATTTTTGATTTCCTAATTCCTCAAACATTGGTTTCCTTTGGGTCCACAAACAAAGCCTGTTACTGTTATTGTCAATAACAGCCAAAGGAAATAGCCAAGAAGGAAAAATATTGCTTTGAAATCACATCAAGATAGCTCAGAGTTGGGTCCTGGACATTGGGATTCTAGAAAGAAAGCCACATTCCAGGGGACAGCTGGGGAATAGAGGACAAACGAAAAATAAGAACATGCATGAGGGGAGCGAAAAGGAGGGTATTGGTGGTGGTGGTGGGGGGCACTAGAAATTGAAAAGGAAAAAAGAAGAGAAATGGGGCAGACGTCCCCACAGAAGAATTTATT